CGATGGTAAGCAGGGTCAAACCTGAGGTGCCAATTTCTTGAGACCACCACTTCATCAGTTGCCAGTTTTTACAATTTTTATCTTTTTTATTTTTTAATTTTTGTTTTGTATTTTAATAATATTAATAAACAAGTGGTAAAAATGGATAGTAAAAACATTCATTGCTTTCTTTTACGACACTTTAAAAATGACCTAAAATTCATCGCTCTACACTAGAATACCCCCTTAAGGGGCACAACTAGTGTAACCGCCTAAAAAAGGTGATTTTTGGAAATTTATATTAAAAAAACTACTTTATCAATAATTTCAAAATTTTAGCAAAATATTTATACAAAATTAAATATTTTCTAAGTTATCGTCGATCTCCAACGGCGCGACAAAAAAAAAAGGTCCTTCACTGCTGCAGTGATTCCGGCCTTCTACGTGGATGAAATCAAAAAAAAAAAAAAATCGTTAAACTAGATAACATTGTCTGTAAAATGAACTACGATGAAAAAAATAAATAAAAAATTGACAAAATGGCGGCGTTTTTTTTTTAAAAAGTCGAATTTTCCCCAAAATTTTGATCGTTTTTCGACTGCGAAAATTCGATTTTTGATCCGATCAAATAATCGATAGTTCATTTTACGGAGAACCATATCAAAAACATGTAAAAAAAAAATTCGATAGTGATCGGATCATTAGTTTTTGGGTAATCGCTGCAACAAATTCGGAAAATGCTGTTTCGAGAAAAACGCGTTTAAAGATAAAATGATCGTTGTACTATATACTATATATATACTCTTTAAATGGCTGTGGCTCAAAAACTATTTAAGATATCGATTTGAAATTTTCATATGTTATTTTTAAAGGTATAACCTATCGAATTATGAAATAAAACAAAAATCGATTTTTTCGAAATTTCACACTAGTTGTGCCCCTTAAAAAAAAAAATGATAAAAGTAACAATGTTTATTATAAAATCATAATATGTAGCATGTTTTTTTGAATTATTGGTACATAACTCCTCATTTTGTTAAGAAGAACTAGAATTCTTTATTCTGTATAACACAGATTCGCATAACACGCTACCTGTATATATATATATATATATATATATATATATATAAATAAATATTAATAATTTAATTACATACCTTATTTCCAGAAGCATCCACACCTTTACCTTCTTCTTCCAAATGAAATCTCAAATTCTCCAATAAAATAATCGAACCTTGCTTCGCATTATTGCACTCTTGTTCTACTTTAGGGCCCACACAATCTTCCAAAAATGTCACATCCCTTAAAAAGAACAATATACAATAAAGACACAGAAGTTTGACTTATTATCCTTAATACTTATATTTATATTTATATTCACTTTCTTCAGTCATTTTACACTTTGGTATCAAATTATTTCTATTACCTGTTCAATAGTTTCTTCAATTCCTCGGCAACAGGTCTAAGACTGTATTCCTTTTTAGGAAGCCCATCAGGACGTCCTAAATGGCTCATTAAAATCACACTCAAGGCATTTTTATTCAAAGCGTACTTAATTGTATCCAAAGCTGCTACTATTCTTTGATTGTTCGTGATAACACCGTTTTTTAAGGGAACGTTGAAATCAACCCTAAATGATAACAGAAAAATAAATATAACTAAAAAATATATATTAATTCACTATAATTCTTTATTACCTCATAAGAACTTTCTTGCCTTCCAAATCCACACTCTCGATACTCAATTTGTTCAAAGCCATTGTATAAAATATATTAATAAAACACTTATTATATAATTTCTTTACAAAAATCTTGCAGGTACTCTTGTACTTTTATCAAATTGACCTTTGAGACTTCTCGAACACACACATGCACTCAATAAAATAAAATCTGCAAAATATAATTTATATTAGTTAAATATCAAATAACTAAAACTATAATAACAATAATAATGTAATAATATTTAATTACTTTTAACAATAATAATAATGTGACAATAATATGTAAGTTTTTGTCAAGTGCAAGAAAGACAAGATAAAAGGTTATTGAAGGTCATGATAAAAATTTGATGTTTTTATCAAAAATATTGAAAAGTTTGTTGTGTTATAGACTAAGTTACGTAATAACATGATTATATTCATTTTATTACCAAATACATGCATATATAACGCATTTAATTGTGTATTTAACACATTTGTTGTATTTAATTCAAGTAGTAACCTCAAAATTGTCAAAATATCCATAAAACAGTTTTTACATTATTAAAGTATAAAATTATATAAAAAACACAAATATAATACCACAGAATGTATTCCCTTACATAATTCTAAGTTATTCGTATAAAATTCACTTATAAAACAGCATTTTACAACATTTTGTCGGCACAATGAATGAAGATGTCAAAAGTAGAAACTGTCAAGTGAAACACATCAACGAGTGTTACCGTGTGAAGTTAAACACATATAAGAGGCGGGAGTTTTAAATTTGAATTAGAATAATTTGTAATTATAAGTTTTTTGTAATATTAATAAGGTATAAAAAATAATAATAACTTATTAATGCTTAAGTATAAATATAATATATATTAGTTCATATAACACGACTTTATAAAGCATTTTATCAGCACAAAGAGTGATTTTATTGGTTACATTTTTTTTTAAATTTACGTTTATATTGCAAAAATTTATTATACGACATATATAGTATTATATATCGTTAAAAAGCTATTAAAACTATCTACAAATCTGTATATAACAATATATTACGTTTCAAACACAATTAAATAAGAAAAATTATTGAAGTTTAAAATTTAGTTAGCCCTTGGTGGATTTTTTGGTTACATTTTTTTAAATTTACGTTCATATTACTAAAATTTGTTATACGACATATATATTAATATATATAGTTAAAAAGCTTATAAAATTATCTACAAACCTGTATATAACGTTTACAAACCTTTCAAACAAAATTAAATGAAAAAAATTAGTAAAATGTAAATTTAATTAGCCATTAACAGATTTTTTGGTTACTGTCAAACACATCAACGAGTGTTACCGTGTGAAGTAAGCAACACATAAGAGGCGGGAGTTTTAAATTTGAATTTGAATATTTGAAAATTTTGGATAATAATAAGTATATAATTATAATAACACGTTACGTCAATATTTTTAGTACAAATGCGTTTTGTTTTTAGTTTTTAGTTTTATTTAGTTAAAAAGGACTCTACTGACGAGCAGATTAAATACCAGAAGAAACAACTCTAAGAGAAAAATATTAGCGAAAAAATTGCTGATAGTAAAAAGGGACTCTACTGACAAGCAAATACTAATAATTTTTTAAAAAGACCCTACTGACGATATAATTCAATTCCAAATTAGAACAAAAAAAAAACTCTACTGACGAGCAAATTAAGGACTGAAAAAATGGTTAACGGAAAAAGGGACTCGACTGATAAGCAAATGACAAATTTGGAGAAAAAAGGACTCTACTGACGAGCAAAAATATTTGGATCTATTCAAAGAAAGGACGAGCAAAAATATTTTAAATTCTTCTAAAAAGGGACTCTACTAACAAGCAAAACCATTTCAAATTTTTCAAAAAAAAAACAATCTACTGACGAGCAAAGATATTTTAATTTATTCTAAAAAGGGACTCTACTGACGAGCAAAAATATTTGGATCTGTTCAAAAAAAGGACTCTACTGACAAGCAAAATATATTCTAGCAAGAAAAGGAACTCTACTGACTAATAAATATAGATTTATTATTATTTTCTACCAAAAGGGACTTTACTGACAAACAAAACTATTTTTAATTATTCTAAAAAGGACTCTACTGACGAACAAAAATATTTGGCATTTTTTTCAAAAAGGACTGTACTAACAAGCAACAACATTTTAAATTCTTCTAAAAAGGACTCTACTGACGAGCAAAAATATTTGGATCTGTTCAAAAAAAAGGGACTCTACTGACAAGCAAAATATATTCTAGCAAGAAGAGGAACTCTACTTACTAATAAATATAGATTTATTATTATTTTCTACCAAAAGAGACTCTACTGACGAACAAAATTAATTTAAATTTTTCAAAAAAAGGACTCTAATGACGAGCAAAAATATTTTAAATTATTCTAAAAAGGACTCTACTGACGAGCAAAAATATTTTAATTTATTCTAAAAAGGGACTTTACTGACGAGCAAAAATATTTGGATCTGTTCAAAAAAGGACTCTACTGACAAGCAAAAAATATTCTAGCAAGAAAAGGAACTCTACTGACTAATAAATATAGATTTATTATTATTTTCTACCAAAAGAGACTCTACTGACGAGCAAAAATATTTTAAATTCTTCTGAAAAGGACTCTACTGACGTGCAAAAATATTTTAAATTATTCTAAAAAGGACTCTACTGACGAGCAAAACTATAATAAATTATTCTAAAAACGACTCTACTAACAAGCAAAAACATTTTAAATTATTCTAAAAAGGACTCTACTGACGAGCAAACATATTTTTAATTCTTCTAAAAGGGACTCTACTGGCAAGCAAAATTACTTTAAATTGATCAAAAAAGGACTCTACTGACGATCAAAAATATTTTAATAATTTTTAAAACTAAATATAAATTTGAAATTATTAAAATTTATATTTTAAATATAATTTTTTTAATAAAGTCGTGTTTTAGGACTTTGTTATCGGCACAAAGTATCCTAAAGTAAAAACTGTCAAAGGTCAGCCATTGTGCAAACTGTCAACACGTTGAAGAATGAAGTTAACATCATATTGGGCGGGAGTTTTAAATTTCAAATACTGTTAAATATCTCTTGCGTAATAATAAGTATTTGACACATATATATTGATAATAATAATTAATTAACGCATAATAATGTAAATGTATACGTAAATATATATAAAACTTGATATACAAATACATATTTGTATTTATATATATATATGTCTTCTTATTACATAACCTATATATACATGTTTGACAATTTGTCAATTTGACATTTCAATATACTCAAGCGGCTAAAATTAAGTTTATTTAAATAATTTATAAAAAATTACGTGTAAAACTATCAATATATACATATAAAGTATACAAATGTGTTATTAAATAATTATTATAGTGTTAAAAGTGAAATAGTGTATAAAAATTACAGGTAAATATAAATTTGTAAAAGACCTAACCTATATGTACTTATCATATAATTATTAATCATATATTATATTAAAGTGTTTTAAATTATTAACAGTAAATTATTAATGATAAATAAAAACTATGTTGTAATTAGTTATTAGTGTTACATTTGAAAACATTTATATAAATCGCTTAGATTAGATAAATAGTGATTGACAATAAACATAACTTATATGTCATTATTAAATAAGTAAATATATGTATATATGTATATATATACATATATATATATATATATATATATACATATATATACAAATTTACCTGTTCATAATAATCTTTTCACCTCAAGTATCTAAATATCCACTTCATTGTTTATTTCTATTCTTGAATATTTTTAACTTCTCTTTTTTAATTGTTCTAGATATTTTTGTTCGTAAAAATGTGGCCCATAATAATGCAGTTCTTGAGAAGCAGGGCTCCAATAATAACTTTGCCAATTGCTTCAGTAATCGGTGTCATCGGTTACAACATCGAAGGCTGGATATCTGATAAATATACACCGTATCAGGGTAAATATATAATTAAATAAGTAAATCATTTATTATATATATATATATATATATATATATATATATATGTATTTATATTTATGTTTCTATTTTTTCAGAGTCGATCCAAGATAAAAGAATAGAACGTCTGTCAGACGACAAATGTCTAGAAAATGCAACAGAAGTCAAAGCTTTAACTTACAACGAGAATGTCTTTAGTAAAAATCTATCACCGAGTTTGAAATGATTTTTAATAAATAAAGATGTTTATTAAAGGGAAGTGATATGTATATATTTGTAGATAAATAAATGAATATTTGAAATTTACCTGAAGCGATGTCTTTAAAATTTAAAATTCTTTTGTAGGTTTATTTGCACTTGTAAATTCTGCTTCGTAAAGCCTTTTCTGCTACTTATGGTCTTTTCTTGACTCACTGTTTTCTCTTGAAAAATATTTGTATTAAAGTGCACATTTTTTTTATACTCGAGCAAATTTTTTTCTATTTTTTTAAAATGATATCTCAAGAACTTTTGGATTTAAATTTTAATAGAAGGCTGTTTTGTCTTTCTTTCATATTTTATATAAATAAATTAAACACGTTAAGTTATATAATAAACAATAAGAATTCGTTCTACTCTTGTTGAATTGAATAAATGTTATTCGTATATAAATTTGCTAAATTTGATCATTAGTAGAGTTTCTTTGATCATTTTATTCCTAATTTGTGCTTTCTTTCCAGTAGAATTGCTTTTTATCACTTTTCCGAATTTGCATGTCAGTAGAGTCCTTTTTCTATTATTTATTAGTAATATCAAGTTTGTTCGTCAGTAGAGTCCTTTTTTGCTATTTTTGAAGTCTGATTTTAAGTTTGTGCGTCCTTTTTCTATTTTAGTAGAGTCCTTTTTCTATTTTTTAACTCTGATATTAAGTTCGTTCGTCAGTAGAGTCCTTTTTCTATTTATTAACTATGATATTAAATTTGTACCTCAGTAGAGTCCTTTTTTATTATTTTTAAAGTGATATTAAGTTTGTGCTTCAGTAGAGTTCTTTTTGCAATTTTTTAACTATGATATTAAGTTTGCTCATCAGTAGAGTCCTTTTTCTATTTTTATTAGTAATATTGAGCTTGTGTGTCAGTAGAGTCCTTTTTCTATTTTTTAACTTTGATAATAAGTTTGTACGTCAGTAGAGTCCATTTTTATATTTTTTAACTCTGATATTAAGTTTGTTTGTCAGTTGAGTCCTTCTTCTATTTTTTAACTTTGATAATAAGGTTGTACGTCAGTAGAGTCCATTTTTATATTTTTTAACTCTGATATTAAGTTTGTTTGTCAGTTGAGTCCTTCTTCTATTTTTTATCTCAGATATTAAGTTTGCACATCAGTAGAGTCCTTTTTTCTATTTTTTAACTCCGATATTAAGTTCGTTCGTCAGTAGAGTCCTTTTTCTATTTATTAACTATGATATTAAATTTGTACCTCAGTAGAGTCCTTTTTTATTATTTTTAAAGTGATATTAGGTTTGTGCTTAAGTAGAGTCCTTTTTCTATTTTGTTAAAGGTTATATTTAGTTTGCTCATCAGTAGAGTCCTTTTTTATTTTTAAAGTGATATTAAGTTTAAGGTTAATTTTTTTATTTATACCGCTGATATTAGGTTTGCTCGTCAGTAGAGTCCTTTTTATATTTTTTAACTCTGATATTATGTTTGTTTGTCAGTTGAGTCCTTCTTCTATTTTTTTAATGTGATATTAAGTTTGCTCGTCAGTAGAGTCTTTTTTATTTTTTTAATGTGACATTAAGTTTGCTCGTCAGTAGAGTCCTTTTTTTATTTTTTTAATGTGATATTAAGTTTGCTCGTCAGTAGTAGAGTCCTTTTTCTATTTCTTAACTTAGATATTAAGTTTGTTCATCAAAAGAGTCCTTTTTTGCTATTTTTAACTCGGATGTTAAGTTTGCTCGTCAGTAGAGTCCCTTTTCCTTCATTTTTTAGCCTAGATTTTTAATTTACTTGTCAGTAGAGTCCTTTTCTACTTTTCTCTTACAATTAGTTTGCTCGTCAGTGGAGTATTAGGTCATCATTTTGTTTGTCAGTATACTTCCTTTTTCTTTTTACCTTAGATTACTCGTCAGTAGAGTTCTTTTAATATCTAAAATGATCACAGACCTGTATATTTTTCAATTTAAAGTGTCAATAGATAAAAGGCGATGGTGACGTCACCAGGCGACGAGCGTTGCCGAGAACCGTCGAATAACCTGTTTTAATTATTAAACAGCCCCATAATTCATTTACTCACTTTATTAAAAACAAATAATCGTTTTACAATTTGTAACAAATTAACATAATATATAAATTTATAAAATGCCTTTTCGCTTTTTCTTTTAAATATAACTTAATAAATAATTATATAAATTTATTCATCATTAAATCATAATTAAGTATTAATTATAATAATAATTATTATAAGTACAAATTAAATTTTTCATTATTTTAATCTATCGTAAAAATCAGTCTTCATATATCTTATATGATATTACAAACTGATGCTAATAAATTAAAACAAGATAAAAGATTCAATTGGATAAAATTAATTAATTAATTAATAGAGGAATACTTATTAAAGCTTCTTTTAAATATAAATATTAGATAAATTTATAATATAAATAAATAAAATATGATTTAGATCTCGAATGATGGTGGAAATACTTGATTTTTGCAACAAAAAAGCACACAAATACTAAGTTTAGTATCACATTTAAGACCAAATTAAATTAAAAACTAATTTTTAAATTAAGTACTTATTAGATAATATATATATATATATATATATATATATATATATATATATATATAAAGTTCAAGTGTGAAACACGCTCTACAACGCTAAAGCCGCCACCACACTCAACCGGCTCCATATAAAACTATAAACAATTCTTATATACAAAATTGCAAGTGTGAGTGAGGCTTTAAGCTAAAGCGTGTACCACACGGTGCAAATAAAAATAATAAAATATGACAATTATTTCGCTTGTACGTTTCGGCACTTTATGCGTGTCATCACTTATTAATATTTTTTTTATTTTTTAGAAACGTGTTTTAAGCGTTTATAATTTCCATAAAATAATTATTCAAAAAAAGTTTAATTATTATATTTGTTTTTGTTTGTTTTTTGGTGAGATGGCACGTATCAAGTGTCGAAACGTATAAATAAATAGTTGTCTATATGTATTTATTTTTTTTAATTTGACGATTTGACGGTTAATTATATAATTGTATAAAGTCGAACCCCGTTAAGACGATGATGTTTTATACAATTTTCCGCTTAAGACGCGTTTTTGGCAAGTTGTCTTAACGGAGTTTTAGTAAATATTTTTTCTGGATTTTTATGAATTGATATATATATATATATATATATATATATATATATACATATATACATATATACATATATATATATATATATACATATAATAATTTATAATCATAATGGAGCACTTATTAAAAACCTAACCTAAAAAATTACATTACCTAATTTAAATAAAACTAATTTTGCAGCCGCATTTTTTAAGTACAGTTTTTTTTGCAGCTAATTAACTAACTAACTATATTCACATTTTTATATATTTAAATTTTGTTTTTGTTCATGCATAAAAAAGCTTTTTTTGTAAAATTTATATTAATTTAAAATCTTAAGCTAAATAACCTAAAAATTGGTCTCAATTTTATTCATTATTGTTTTTTTTTGTTAGAAAAATATGTTCATGAAAGGACAATTGAAACCGGGTTTGTTCGGTGTGATCAAAATTGACAGTTGAAAGTATAAATATCGAGCCGCCATTACAGTTTCAACTGTCAACAATGAAACCTAACCTATCATGTACATATTTTCTAATTATTTAATTATTAATATTTAATTATTTATTATTTATTAATTATCTTATTTTATTAATAAATAATTAATTATTAATAATTAATAATTAGAAAATATGTACATACCATCGGGTGTGTTCTGTGTGATCAAAATTCATGTCAAGCGGCCATTACAGTTTCAACTGTCAACAATGGAACCTAACCTATCATGTACATATTTTCTATTTATTTAATTATTAAAAATTAATTATTTATTATTAAATAATTATCTTGTTTTAACAATAATAAATAATTAAATAATAATAAATAATAATTAGAAAATATGTACATGCTATCGGGTTTGTTCTGTGTGATCAAAATTCATATGTCAAGCGGCCATTGCAGTTTCAACTGTCAACAAAGAAACCTAACGTATCATGTACATATTTTCTAATTATTTAAGTATTAATATTTAATTATTTATTATTAATAGTTATCTTGTTTTATCAATAATGAATAATTAAATAGTAATAAATAATAATTCAAAAATATGTACATGTCATCAGGTGTGTTCCGTGTGATCCAACATGACAGTTGAAAAAAATGTCGAGCCGCCATTACAGTTTCAACTGTCAACAATGAAACCTAACCTATCATGTACATATTTTCTAATTATTTATTTATTTTTTTAATTATTTCTTTAATGATTATTATATTTATTATTATTATTATTATCTTACCTTAATGATGAGTATATGTACAATAATTTATTGTTACTATTATTATTATTATCCGTCGACCAATCAGAGTCATTCAAGATCCGTGATCTTTCTCTTTAATGTTGCCGAAGATTTTGTTGTCAATGGCATGTTATTGCAAATGTCTTTCTTTAATTCGAAGTAACGGTCGAGGCGAGACGAAGCATAGTCCTAGAAAGAGATAGATTGTTATTTGTTAATTGAAGTGAAACTTCTTGAGGGACTTGAATGTTTAACCTCGTAGTGTGGTGATATAAGGGACTCTGAGGGTGAAAGAAAAAAGGGACTCTACTGACGAGCGAATTGAATTTAAATCTACAAGAGAAAAAGGGATTCTACTGACGAGCAAATAAAGTAAATTAATTAGAAAAAAAGTAATCTATTGATAATGAAATTAAAAGAAAAAAGGACTCTACTAACGAGCAAATATCTTTGATAAAAAAGACTCTACTGACGAGCAAATTAAATTATCAGAAAAAGGAACTCTACTGACGAGCAAACTAAATATCTAGATAGAAAATAAAAAAGGGACTCTACTGACGAACAAATTCAATTTGAACAAAAAATTTTACTGACAATAATTTTTAGTTCAATCAATTTGCTCGTCAGTAGAGCCCTTTTTCTATTTTTTTATATCTTGTAAGTCTAAAATTAATTTGCTCGTCAATTGAGTCCCTTTTTTACATTTTTGGGGGATATTTAATTTTGCTCGTCAGTAGAGTCCCTTTTTTATAATTCTAAATCAAATTTTAAGTTTGCTCGTCAGTAGAGTCCCTTTTTTATAATTCTAAATCAAATTTTAAGTTTGCTCGTCAGTAGAGTCCCTTTTTCATAATTCTAAATCAAATTTTAAGTTTGCTCGTCAGTAGAGTCCCTTTTTTATAATTCTAAATCAAATTTTAAGTTTGCTCGTCAGTAGAGTCCCTTTTTTATAATTCTAAATCAAATTTTAAGTTTGCTCGTCAGTAGAGTCCCTTTTTTAATTTCCTATTTAAATATTTGATTTGCTCGTCAGTAGAGTCTTTTTTATTTGGTCAAAAGATGAAACTTCTAAAGAAACTTGAATGTTTAAAAAAGGACTCTACTGACCAAGTAAAATATCTGCGCGAAAAATAAAATAGGGACTCCACTGACAAGCAATCTGAATTTACGCTTAAAAAGAGACTCTACTGATGAGCAAATTCAAATAAAACAAAAAATCTACTGATGAATAAATAGAATAAGAGCAAAAAGGGACTCTACTGACGAGTAAAGTATAATAAAAGCAGAGAAAAAAGCATCTATACTAAAGCGAGTACATTTTAAATAAAATAAAAGAAAAAAAAGGAACTCTACCGACGAGAAAACTAGAGCAAAACAAAAGAGTGACTCTACTGACAAGCAAATTAAATCGCGTTCTAGGTAATAAGAAATAGACTTTACTGACAAACATTTGCTCGTCAGCAGAGTCCCTTTTCTTATTTTATTCTATTTTGTTCATCAGTAAAAATGTTTGGTTTTTTAATTTGCTCGTCAGTAGAATCCCTTTTTAAGGCATAAATCGAGTTTGTTTGTCAGTAGATTTCCTATTTTATTGTTCGTCAGTAGAGTCCTTTTATTATTTTCTATCTAGATATTTAGTTTGCTCGTCAGTAGAGTCCCTTTTTTTATTTCCTATCTAGATATTTAGTTTGCTCATCAGTAGAGTCCTTTTTATACTTCAAAGTATATTTATATTGAGTTTGTTTGTCAGTAGAGTCCCTTTTCGATAATACTTTTAAATTTAGCATTTTAAAAATGTTGTTCTAAAAGTTTAGATTCTGTTTGCTCGTCGGTAGAGTCCTTTCTTTGATAATTTAATTTGCTCGTCGGTTACGGTACGGAAAGTTCCAGCAATTTGCGTTAAGGAACGATGTTACAAAAAAAAAACACGTGCACACATTAAAAAATTTAAAAATTGCTCCAGTTCACTTACAGTCTAAACGCACCCGCAAATATATTTGTATCGGGTTGTTACTTAGACTGTGCTTAAGCTACCTCATTTTTAATTTTGTCAAACTGGAAAAGTGCACCCGTACAGTCACATTCTAAACGCACTCATGAAAGCATTTGCACCGCGTTGTCACTTAGACTGTGCCTAGTATGGGTCATTTTTCTTTTTTTAACACAAATTGTAAGTTTTATAAATAATTTACATAGAATTTGAAAAGTGCTCTGGTGAAGTAAAAATCTAAACGCACTTGCGAAAACATTTGTACCAGGTTATTACTTAGACTATGCATGGACAGGATTTTCATTTTTTTCAATAATTTTCACAAAATTGAAAAAGTGCTCCGGTAAAGTTACAATCTAAACGCACTTGCGAAAACATTTGTACCGGGTTGTCACTGAGACTGTGCTTAGCCCGGTTAATTTTCGTAATTTTTACTTAAAAATGGCATTTATTTATTTATTTATAAGCAAGCCGTAATCAATAATAATAAACTGTTGAAAAATGTGAAAATGCCGCCAAGCTAAGCACAGTCTAAGTGAAAATGTCGCACAGAATTATTTCCAAATGCGTTTAGACTGTAACTATACGGGAGCATTTTTTCAATTTTGAGTAAATGAGAGGCAACTATATATTTTTTTTAAATTGAATTCGAAATGAAATGACGATTGTTAGATAAATTGAATTATGATTTACATTTGATATTCTCAGATAAAACAAACAAGACAGAAAAAATAATGAAAGTTACAGTATTTGTAATAATATATTTGAAAACGTTTAAACTATCTCGAATATTTCATTACGGTACGGAAAGTTCCAGCAATTTGCCTTAAGGCACCATGCCATACACTACTAGTTTTCTTACATTTCATACTATAATTTTTGTGATTGTCAGTACAATCCATTTTTTCTTGAAATCTTCATTTACTCGTCAGTAAAGTTCCATTTTCTTAAGGCTAATTGTAAGCTTAATTTGCTTGTCAGTAGAATTCGTTTTTATATTTTAGTCTTCAAATTAAATTTGAATGAATGCATAAATTTGCATAAATAATGAATGTTAGAGTATTTGTAATAATACATTTAAAAAACGTCGAATATTTCATTACGGGTACGGCAAGTTCCAGCAATTTGCCTCAAAGCACGATGCCATACACCACTAGTTTGTTTCTATTACTCCACTTACCCAGTATCCGAAAGGAATCTGCGACAGAGACGCATTGACGCACGCCCACATGCCCCAAAACAAATGCGAAGCCAACGTAAAAACCCTTATCTCATCCATAATTTCCGCGATCTGTTTCGAAGTGACAACCACTGATCCGGACCTGGATCTCGAGGACCTCGTAGTACCATCTAATAATTCGTTCGAAGACCTCCTAGAAGAGGCCCTGGTGGACGATGTACAATAATCGTCTTGGGAAATCGAGAAACCTTCTCGACTTGATCTCGAAGACGAAGTTGGAGATAGGTGACCATTTCGATATCTCTGCGATGATTGGAGATAGGCTGTTATGAAACGTTCCTGGATAAAAGATAAAGGATACAAGATTAAATTAAAGGATACAAGATTAAATTAAAGGATATAAGGTTAAAAATGTGTTTTTTTTTTTCGATCAGCTCTCGCACTATTCGTGTAAAAAGCATTTGTTTTGCGGTGAGCCGCTGATATTTGTTTACAACGTGGATGATTTCCGTGAGAGCAGATTAGTTAGTTTTGTTCTCAAGAAACGTACCCACGGTGTGTAAAAAAAAGTTTTAAAGATTTTTTTTTATTTTAAAGTATGATTTTTTTGTAAAGTATGATTTTTTTCATAAAGTATGATTTTTTTATAAAGTATGATTTTTTTCATAAAGTATGATTTTTTTATAAAGAATGATTTGTCCTAAAGTATGATTTTTTATAATATATGATTTTTCATAAAGAATGATTTTGTATAAACAATGATTGTTTTGATATGATAGCGATAAATACATGAACTGCATACTCAATTTTTTTGCTAAAAATAAATATAAAGATATACATATAAAAATATAGTTTTTAAGATTTGTTTCTATTTTGAAATTTGTTTTTGTTGATTTTTTTTTGTTTGAGTATCAATGATTCTTCGACTGTCGCAGATGTTCTAGATATTAGAAAAATGTTCTGATTATTCCTTAAAATGTTCTAACACGTTCTGAATAGACTAAAAATATTTCGTATAGTCTAGATCTTATTCGTTCTAGATTTTATTAAAAATTCTAGATTTGATTAAAAATTCAAGATTTTATTAAAAACGTTCTAGATAAGCTAGAACGTCGTTAAAATGTACTAGATAGTCTGCACTCTAGATGTTCATAAAAATGTTCTAAATTTGCTTTAGAGTGTTCTCGATAGTAATATTAAATGTTCTAGACAGTCTCAAAAATGTTTCAGATAGTCTCAAAAATGCTCTAGGTAGTTTCAAAAATGTTCTAGACAGTTTCAAAAATTTTTTGGGCATTCCAAACATTATCTAAGCAGTCTCAAAAATTTCTAGGCAGTCTCAAAATGTTCTAGATAGTCTCAGAACTTGGCAACTCTTCTAAATACTTTGCAACTCGTCTAAAAACATTGCAACTAGTCTAAAAATACTCCTGATAACCAAATTGAATTATCAAAGAAAAGACTCTACTGAAAAATGTTGCAAAATGTTGCAAGTCGTCTATAAACGGTGCAACTTGTCTGTACAAAATGCAAATCATCTGGAGAAATGTTGAAAATGGTCTGAAAATATTCTAGATAATTTAAAAATAGACAAGTTGCAAGACGTCTGGATAAGTTGTAAAACGTGTGAACAAGTTGTAAAACGTCTGGACAAGTTGTAAAACGTCTGGGCAAGTTGTAAAACGTCTGGGCAAGTTGCAACACGCCTGGTAAAGTTGCAAGTCATCTGGACAAGTTGCAAAACGTCTAAAACATGTTGCAAGTGATTCCAAAGCGTTGCAAGTAATCGAAAATGTTGCAAATCATCCAAAAAAGGTGCAACTCGTCTGAAAATGTTGCAAGTAGTCTGGTCAAATACAAGTCGTCTACACAAGTTGTAAGTCATCCAAAAATGTGAAAGTTGTCTAAAAATATTGCAAATCGTCCAAAAATGTTGCAAGTCGTCCAAAAATGTTGCAAATCGTCTAAAAGTATTGCAAATCGTCTAAAACATGTTTGTAAGTTTTCCAAAAATGTTGCTAGTCATCCGAAATATGTTGCAAATCATCTAAAAGTGTTGCAAATCATCTAAAAGTGTCGCAAATCGTCTAAAAGTGTTACAAGACGACTAAAAACGATGCAACTCGTCTGAAAATGTGTTGCAAGTCGTCTAAAAGTGTTGAAAATTGTCTGAAAAAAATGCAAGTCGTCTGTACAAGTTGCAAGTCGTCTAAAAATGTTGCAAATCGTCTGGACAAAAGTAGCAAATGATCTAAAAATATTCTAGATAGATTCGATTCGAAAATGCTGTAGATGCTGTAAAAATATTCCGGTTTCCGGATAGTCTGGATAGCCTAAAAAATGCTGCAAAGCGCCTGAAACTAACTTTTGAATCATCTGAAAATGTTAAAAGTAATCTGCATAAATTGAAAATCGCCCGGAATTATTACAAATTGAATATCTGCTAATATTGAAAAATTGAAATATGAATTGTCTTAAAATGTTATATATCTTCTGGACAAGTTGTAAACTATATGAGAATATTTTGCAAGGTTGCAAGTTGCAATTCGTTTAAAAATGTAATCTAAATATAATTCTCTACATTAAACAGCGTAACAGCTTCATTTTTTTTCTTACTCCAGCCGAAGAATCATTGATTTGCACTTTACCATTGCAATAACATCAAAAATTAAATCAACAAAATCTAAACATATTTTCTTGAACAACAACATACATAAATATATATAACATAATTATCTGTTTAATAAATAATTTTAAATTTTAGTTTATTTTAGTTATTATTATTCTGAGATTATTACAAGTCGTTCCCGTCAAATCCTCTCATTGTGGGAGTGAAGGGAGTGCGTCGAGACGCAGTTTTCCGCCCTTAGATGTTCTGGAGATTGATTTTGTTCGATTTCATAGAAATCCATCGCATTCGTCAATTGATTCATTGATTCATCAATTGATTCATTGATTGTCCCCCAATTCACTTTCACTTTCAGAGTTTAAACTAAAAACAATCAACATCAAAACATAGACGCGTAGAGAAAAAATCGGTCAAGCAGAATGACCTCATCAAGTTAAAAGACACACATTTCAAAAAACGCCCTTGTCAGAATAAAAATTCTAAATATTACCTTTTTTAATTCAGAAAATTTGGTCCAGAAATTTTTACCTAGGTTAAAGAATATACAAACTTTTAGAAGAAAATGGTAAAAGGATTTCCAATAAGTTGTTTTTTAACGATAGCAACGGTTTCCAGGGTCTTCTATAATTAAATAATATTTTCCACAAACCAAAAAAAAAACTTATTAATTAATTGAAAATAATAATATTTAAATTAAACACTTTTTTTTAATATTCAATTAAAATGTCTGCAATAGGTTCGTATGTCCTTGAAATGTTTCAATTCGTCTCAAAAATGTCTCAACTCCTTTATAAAAATTTCAACTTGTCTAAAAATGTTTCACCTCGTCTATAAAACGTTTCCAATCGATTCAAAATGTTTCAACTCGTCTCAAAAATGTTTCAACTCGTCTGAAAATGTTTCTACTCGTCTTTAAAATGTTTCAACATAACTGATGATGCTTTAACTTCTAAAAAATGTTTCAACCTTTTTAAAAAGTGTTTCAACTCGTCTAAGAAGTGTTTCAACTCGTCTAAGAAGTGTTTCAACTCGTCTAAGAAGTGTTTCAACTCGTCTAAGAAGTGTTTCAACTCGGCTAAGAAGTGTTTCAACTCCTTTCAAAAATGTTTCAATTTGTCTGAGAATGTTCTAAACTGTCTGAAAATGTTGTAACATGCCTAAAAATGTTTCAACTTGTCTGAAAATTTTTGAACTTAGCTTGAAGTGATTATAACATGTCTGAAAATGTCGTACGAATGTTGTAAGATGTTTTAAAATGTTGTGAGATTTTTTAAAATATTGCCAGGTGTTTTAAAATATTGTGAGATGTTTTAAAATATTGTGAGATATCTAAAAATGTTGTGAGATGTCTCAAAATGGTTGTAAAATGTCTGAAAATGTTATGAGGTGATCTGAAAATATTTGAACATGTCTTTGAAATTGTCTTAAAATGCATACAAGTTACATATCAAATCAAATGCGTACAAGTTTCCAATCAAACAAAATACGTGTAAGTTGTCAATAATGCATAATGCGTACAAGTTGTTTTGTTAGCTTGTCTTAAAATGTTTTACGTAGTTCTAACTTGTCTTATAAATGTGGTAAATCGTCTAAAAACGTTATAAATTTGTCCATATATAAGCTTAATTCGAGCTACCCGTTAAAAAAATAAATAAATAATAATAAGCCATTGCTTGGAAACCGTTGCTTCATAATTTACTTCATTACAACATTTTTTTTATTAAAAACTTATTGGTCATCCCTTTTCATTGCAAAAAACTTATTTGTTTTCGAAATAAATCAAATATAGTAGAAAAAAATGGGTAAAGGACTCGGAAAAAATAAGTTCAGCATAATAAAAAATAAAATAGAAAAGCTAAATTGATTATTATCAAAATAGATTTTGTATTATGCAATTTTACAAAAAACAGCAAATAGTAACAATCAAGCAACTAAATTTAAATTAAAAATATTTATATAAAAATATGAAAATCTAGGAATTAAAGTTTAGCAGCTATTTTATTTCATATTAAAATAATATTTAATAAATTATCTATATTATATTTTGCTGAACTTATTCAAAAAGGATAATCAGGTGCAGGATTTTCTGGATGCGATAAATAAAATATTCTCGAAAAATTTGAAATAAAATAATTAATTAAGCAGCAAACGAAGAATAAAAATCACATGCAGTTCATGCCATTGAAATGATAATGGATATGAAACGATGAATGATAAATAAATATGTATTATTAAATATATCATATTTAATATATATTATGCATATTTATATATAAAAATATATTATTTATTTAAATAATAAACTGCATATGATTTTATTTCATTTGCAATAGATAAATATATTTTAATTCAAGTCAAACTCATTAAACAGGTTTATTTGAGAAACATGTAACGTACAGGAAACACACGTAACGTAACATTTACCTAACATGGTTTATGTGCTATTAACGTAATAAATAATTTTAATAAATTTTGAACATATAAAGGACATCTTAGAAGCTTTCACAAATTTGATTATTTTTAAATTTAAAATAATTTTTCTAATTTGACTTTTCCCAGTATATGTTTTTAAAGTTTAATAAAATCTATTTATAAAATAAGAATCATTGATAATTTTTATATTTTAGTAAATTTTGTTTCGTTTAATTCACAATATTAGTAAACAAATGTAAAGTTTCAACATAAATCATGTTTCGTAATTGTTTCGTAATCGTTATGTTTCTTATACCATTTTACATGCTGAAGATGAAAATTGTTTTTCATAAGAAATTTGTTAAAAACATTTTGTTTTTAATGTAGTAATATATACTCACCAATATATACTACATTTATAATAATAAGAAAATTAATAATAATAATGATAATAGTGATATAAATATAAGATAAGATTTAATATCAAGCACTTAATTTCATACACAGTTTGTTTATAATAATTTCCAGAGCACATTTTTATTTAAAAATATTATTAAGATTTGTTGTGAATTAATGAAGTGAAACTTCTGATGCGACTATACTATGAACAAGATGCCGTTGAACGATCGATAAATCGAAGAGCGAGAGTCTGAAAATGTTGTAAATCGTCTGAAATTACCCGAAAGTTTTTTAAATTATCTGAAACTGTATGAAACTTCTTTGGATTTTGTGAACATTCTACATTCTGTCTGAAAACGCTGTCAATTATTTGAAAATTATGTATATTGTCTGAAAATGCTGTAAAATGTGTCAAATTGTCCGAAAATGCTGCAAATTGTCTAAAAATTCTGTAAATTGTCTGCAATTGCCTTACAGTACTGTAAATTGTCTGAAAATTTTATAAATTATATATAGTATCTTTAAATTGTAAACGTTATAAATTGTCTGATATAGTTTAAATATAATGCAGATAGTCTGAAAATGTCTGAAAATTTTTTAAACTGTCTGAAAATGCTGTAAACTACGTGAAAATTTTGTAAACTTATCTGAAATAGTCTGATTTTTTTAAACCATTTGTAAATTGTTTTAATATTTTTTAAAAAAGTATCTGATTCCTTTAATTTTAATTGTCTAATATTGTCTAAAAATGGTATAAATTGCTGTAGATTGTCTGAAAATTATCTAAAAATGTTCAAAATTGTCTGAAAATTCTACAAGTCGTCTGAAAATTCTGTATATTGTCTGAAAATGCTTTAAATTGTCTATGAATTCTCGAAATTGTCTATGTATGCTCGAAATTGTCTTACATTTCTGTAAATTGTCTAAAAATGCTCCAAATTGTCTTAAATTTCTGTAATTGTCTGAAAATTTTGTAAATTGTCTGAATATACTGCAAGTTGTCTCAAAATTTTGTAAATTGTTTGGAAATTCTGTAAATTATCTGAAAATTTTGTAAGCTGTCTGAAAATCATGTTTATTGTCTGAAATATCAGCAAGCTGTCTGAAAATGCTCCAAATTGTCTGGAAATGACCCAAATTGTTTAAAAATGTTCGAAATTGTCTCAAAATGCTTTAAATTGTCTGAAAACTCTGGAAATTGTTTGAAATTTTAGTAAATTGTCTAAAAATTCTATAAATTAACTGAAAATGCTGTAAACTGTCTAACAATTTTGCGAACTGCCTGAAAATTCTGTAAAACATCTGAAAATATTGTAAAACGTGCGATATTCTTGCAAACTTTCTGAAAATGTGGTAGATACACTGATTTTGTTTGAAAATGTTATAAATTGTCTGATATTGTCTAATTTTTTTCAAATTATCAGAAAATTATTTAAATTGTCAGAAAATGCCCTAAATTGTCTGATTGTCTGAAAATTATCTAAAAATCCTATAAGTTGTCTTAAATTTCTGCAAATTGTCTGAAAATTCTGTACATTGTCTGGGAATGCTGTAAATTGCCTAAAAATGCTGAAAATGCTGAAAATTGTCCAAAAATGATCGAAATTGTCTGAAAATTCTGTATATTGTCTCAAAATGCTGTAAATCGTCTGAAAATTCTGTATATTGTCTCAAAATGCTGATAAATGTCTTAAAATATCGAAAATGCTTTAAATTGTCTGAAAATGTACTAGATTATTACAAATTCACTAGAAAAATTTGGTAAACTATTTAAAAACTATGTAGATTGTCTGAAAATGCTGTAAATCGTCTCAAAATGCTGTAAATTGTCTGAAAATGCTGATAATTGTATTAAAATACTGTGCTTAACTGAAAATGATTTAAATTGTCTGAAAATGCTGTAAATTGTCTAAAAATATTGCACATTGTCTGAAACGATAATTAAAAAAAAATTGCAATGATTAGCAAATTGTTAATAAACTAATAAAACAAAAGTAGACTAAAAATCAGTTCCTACCCCTATCATAATAAATTATGATTTCAACATTACGAAGTTTCACTTCTTTCAAACACATCTTCAAAAGTATCATAAATTTTTAAATTTTAAATAAAAATATGCTCCATCAAACCAAAAATGCGTAAAATACGTAAAACATGTAAAAAAAACAAACATAACCTCTATCCTTTATCATACCTGTTGCTCCTCAGTCGGATAATCCTCCGGCCTATCATAGAAATACGGATAATCTGCATTCGAATAATCATAAGTCCATTCTATGAAGTGATTCGCCAAATCGAACCCTCTATAATTGTACGAACAATATTCGAAATCTATTAGCACCAATTCGGGTTCATTGTTATTAAGGGATGATTTCTTAGAACTTCTCGATAGAACTGAATCGCTACTGCTACTGCTACTCGTGGAAGAGGTGAGACAGTCTTCGAGAGATGGAGAGGTCAAGTGGTTAGAGTTCTGGTTCTGTAGAAGGTGCAGGTTTTTGGTTTGTGGGTGAGAGGATTCGAATAGGTCTGTGTTGTCCTTGAGGGCCATCTGTTGGCTGAAGTCGCAGGCTATGCCGTCGTCTTCGGTTAGAGGAGGTTCCTGTGGGAAGATAAGATGACAAGGTGTGAGTGGCACTTCTACTTAAGATAAGGTGCATGAAATTTTCTTTATTAACTTCCCGTAGGGTAAGTTATAGTAATCGCAAAAAAATCGAAAATGAAAATTTTTATATATCTTTACGTTTCAAAGGTTTCTGAATAGGTTGGCATACCTTAGAAAAAATTGATGTATGTGTGTGTGTGTGTGTGTGTGTATGTGTGTGTGTATGTATGTACGTGTGTGTATGTATGTGCGGATACAAATTATCGTCGACGATTTCGGGAACACGGATCAACCGATTTGAATAACTCAAAAAACATTCGATTCGTATTGATAAGGAGACGTGCTGATTAGTTTTTAGCGAAGGAGACGTGCTGATTAGTTTTTTAAGAGAACGGAGCGTCCGATTTTAATAATTCAAAAAACATTTCACTTGTATTGACAAAATAAAGAATTGATCAAATTTTCATAAAGGCAGGTCTAGCGGTTTCGGAGATCTAACGAAAAAAGTAAAAAAAAATGCCATTTGGCGGTCAAAAATGATCATTAGACATATGCACATCAAATTTTTAGATATTTCATAGAGATTTTAACAATAAGTATAAATTTTGTTTATTTTCCTATGGGTTCCGTATCAATGTTTACCCGTTAGACAGCGACGCCGCGCATACGCGCTTTATATTTTGTCTCTATGCAGTTAAAGCAGTGCGATTGCTTTGAAAAACAAGTTCAGATCTTCCAAAGTATGTCAAAATAACTCCTAATTGCCTTAAGACAGAATTCCACTTACAGCTAGTTTATAAATAATATACTTAATTGATAATAAATATAGAGTCCCTTTCTGCTCTTATTTTAATTTGCTTGTCAGTAGAGTCTCTTTTTTTACCTTTATTTATTTAGATTTTCACATGTATTCTAGTCTGCTCGTTCGTAGAGTACTTTTCTTTTTATTCTATTTCGCTCGTCAGTAGAGTACATATTTTCTTTTTTCAGTAGCTCGTCAGTAGAGTCCCTTTCTTCTCTATTTTTACTTTCTCGATTTTTTATAGTTCTTTGATTTCATAAAGAAGCAAAAAAAGACTAAACAATGTCGAAAAATCTGAAAAAAATAAAAAGGGACTCTACTGACGATCAAACCAAAAAAAGAACGTTACTGATGAGCAACAATAATGAGAAAAATGAACTCTCGTGATAGAGAATTTGAAAAAGAACTCTTCAAAAATGTAAAAAAGACTGTACTGACGAGCAAACTAAAGAACAAAATATAAAAAGAACTGTACTGACGAGCAAACCAGGATAAAAGAAGGGACTCTACTGACGAGCGAATAAAATCTTGTTTTAAAAAATGAAAAAAGGGACTCTACTGACGAGCAAAACAAAATAGAAAAGAAATTCTAAAATCGAAATAAAAAAGATATAAACAAAGGGACTCTACTGACGAGCAAACCAAAATAGAAAAGAAATTCTAAAATCGAAATAAAAAAGATATAAAAAAGGGACTCTACTGACGAGCAAACTAGAATAAATAAAAAGAATCTAAATATATAGAGATAAGAAAGGAACTACAGAGATAAAATAAAAATTAGAGAAGAATATGACTCTACTGATGAGCAATTGAAAAAAAACAGAGACTCTACTGACGAGCGAAGTAGAATAAAAAAGAAAAGGACTCTACTGACAAACAGACTAAAACAAATGAAAAAATCTAAATAAATAAAGGTAAGAAAAGGACTCTACTGATGAGAAAATCGATATAAAAAAGGGATTCTACTGCCGAACAAATTGAAATAGAAAGAAGAAAGGGACTCTACTGACAAGCAAATAAAATTAGAGTAGAATGGGACTCTACTGACGAGCAAATTAAAATTAAAAGAAAAAAAGGACTGTACAGACGACAAAATAAAATTAATGAAAGAAAAGGAGTCCACTGACGAGCAAATCAAATATTGATGTAAAAAATAAAAAGTGGTCTCAATAATTAAAAATCTATGTGAAAACGAAAACAATTTTGACATTAGACAAAAAAGTGAACTCTACTGACGAACAAATTAAATATTGATTTAGAAAATTGCAATATGACTCTACTGACGAGCAAATCAAATATCTGGATAACAAATTAAAAAAGTGTACGATGATAAAGAAGGGACTCTACTGACAAGCAAACTAAATATATAGATAAGAAAATAAAAAAGAACTCTACTGACGAATGAATAAATATCAACTAGAGAATTGAAAGTAAACTCCACTGACGAGCAAATTAAAGATATAGATAAAAAAAAATAAAAATGTGAACTCTATTGACGAACAAATTAGAATTTGAAAATTGGATACAAATTAAACATATAAATATAAAATTCCAAAATGACTATACATGGAATATATACTATCAATGAAAAAAATAAAAATTGAACTCTACCAACGAACAAAGTAGATATTTGCAGAAAATGAGAAAAGGGCTCTATTCTGCGAAAAGGAGCGAATAAATATTTGGATAGAAAATGAGGCAAAAGGGCTATAGCCGCAAGGAAACTAAATATCTAGATAAAAAATTAAAAATGGACTCTACTGTCGAGTAAATTTAAAATCTGAGCAGAAAATTAGAAAAAGGACTCTACTGTTGAGCAAACTAAATATCTGAATAAAAAATTAATAAAAGACTCTACTGACAAGCAAACTAAATACTGGATACAAAATTATTGGACTCTACTGACAAAAAAAATTATTTAGACAGAAATTTAAAAATCTGCTGAGAAGCAAATTAAACACCGTTGTTAAAGATAAACAAGCAAACTAAATATCTGGGTAACAAGTTAAAAAAGTGAACTCTACTGATAAATAAATATCAAAAGCGATGATAAAGAAGATACTCTACTGACGAGCAAACTAAATATATAGATAGAAAAATGAAGAAGAACTCTATCTACTGACGAGAGAAATAAATATCTAGCTAAAGAATTTAAAAGGTAAATTCTACTGACAAAAATTTCAAACTATATTAAATTTAATAATTAAAAGCAAATTAAATTTCAGACTAGAAAATAAAAAGAAGACTCAGAAAATAAAAAGAAGACTCAGAGAATATAAAAAATATATTCTAGCAATAATCAAGGCAAAGAGCAATATAAAAGAAAATCAAAAAGGACTCTACTGACGAGCAAAATCAAACTCGACATAAAATAAACTCTACGAGTAACTTATACTTGAAATCTATGTGGAAGTAGTTATGAATATGGAAGTATAAACTCCACTTGTATAAAAATATATAAAATTTATTGATTATAAAAATTAATGATATGAAAATATGACAAGTGATTTTGTTATTCCTAAATGTCTAGCCTGCTTGATTTTCCCACAACTAGATAAATGATGAAAAGGACTCTACTTATGAGCTCTATTTTGAACTTATAAATTATAACTATTATTACTTACAACATAACTCCTACTATCCACTCCATCGCAACTATTCTCGACAACGACGACATCGGCAACCTGCACGCCCTTCCCATGTATACCGGTATCCTCCAAATTATTAGTATGATGTCTCGTCTGTCTCAATAATATATTACCCTCCTGCATATCGTTATGTGAGAAAACCACTGGAGATCCGCAGCCCTGCACGAACTGCTTCAGCCATTCGATCTCGGAACGAAGTTTCATCTGTCTGATGTGGTCGACTGTCGAGGATTCGTGGTCATCCTGAGGGAAAAATAAAATTAGATTTATTCGGTTTATAATAGATTTAAACTAGTGGGGTGTATAGCATCGTGCCTTAAGGCAAATTGCTGGAACTTCCCGTATCGTAACGAAATGTTCGAGGAATACTGAATGTTTTCAAATAGATTATTACAAATACTGTGTAATTGTTTCATTATTTTTGATATCTTGTTTGTTATATCTGAGCAAATCAAAAGTAAATCATAAACAAATCTCCAGAACATTAACAGGAGATTCTACTAACGAGCAAATTGAATTGAAAAAAAACAGGAACTCTACTGAGGACCAAACTTTTTATTTTAGCAGAGTATCATTTGAGATCATAAGAGAACTCTACTGATAAACAAATGCAGAAAAAGTTAAAAATTTATATTCTATTGACGATTTGACAAACTAAATATAAGAAAGGACTCTACTGACAAGCAAACTAAAAAAAAGTAAAATAAAGGGACCTTACTGACGATCAAACTTAAATTTTTAATTTTAATAGAATGCCACATTAGACAGTAATATAGTAATAGTAAAATAGTAAATACAATATTATTGTAATTTAAATTAATAACTAGTTGTGTATGGCATCGTGCCTTAAGGCAAATTGCTGGAACTTCCCGTACCGTAATGAAATATTCGAGAAATTTTAAACGTTTTCAAATATATTATTACAAATACTTTCAGTAACTTTCATTATTTTTGCTATCTTATTGTTATATCTGAACAAATCAAATGTAAATCATAAATCATAAATCAATTTATCTCCAGAACATTAACAATCCTCATTTCATTTCGAATACAATTTCAAAAAAAATTGAATGTTGCCTAATTTGCACAAAATTGAAAACACACAGTCTAAACGCATTTGCAAATAATTCTGTGCGACATTTTCACTTATACTGTGCTTAGCATGGCGGCATTTTCACATTTTTCAATAGTTTTCTTGTTTTCACAAAATTGGAAAAGTGCTCCATTACATAAACACTCTAAACGCACTTGAGTAAGTACCAGAGTGGCGCATTTGTACCAGAGTGGCGCTTAGACTGTGCTTAGCCTGGGTAATTTTTTCAATTTCTTCAATTTTTTTTTTAATCCAAAATTACAAAAATATTTTATGATAAATAAAAAAAAAAAGTTGGAATTTTTTATCCTCAAAAGCAATTGTTTTGTCAATACGAGCAGAGAGTTTTTTAGATGATTCAAATCTTTTTGAGGTAGCATCAGTAGAGTCCTTTTCAGGTTCTTACTTAGTCAGTAACGTCCTTTTTGATTTTTCAAGTTATTTATTAAAATATTGTTCTCAGAAGTATAAAATAGAACAAAATTAAAAAGGAAGTTTACTGACGAGCACATTAAATAGAAAATAAAAATGAGACTCTACTGACAAGCAACTGAAATATCTAGACAGAAAATTATAAAAGAGTATCTACTGGTGAGCAAACTAAAAATCTAGATACAAAATTAGGAAAAGGGATTCTACTGACGAGCAAATTAAATATCTGGAGAGAAAATTACAAAAGGACTCTACTGGCGAGCAAACTTAACATCTAGATAGAAAATTACAAATGGAACTCTACTGACGAACAAATTAAACTTGTTTAGTTTAATTGTAATTGTAGATGAAAATGTTTAGATGAAAAACTAGAAAAAGGACTCTAGTGACGAGCAAATTGAAAATCTAGATAGATAAGAGACTCTACTAACGTGCAGACTCTACGAACGAGCAAACTAAAAATGCAGATAATAAAGTAGAAAAGGACGTAGATTAGATAGATTAAAAATTACAAAAGGGACTCTACTGACGAACAAATTAACCTTGTTGATTGGAAAAAATAGAAAGACTCTACTGAAAAACTAACTGATTAGTTACCTTGAAAAGAAAAAAAGAAATATACTGACAAACAAATTAAAATAAGAAACTCGAAAAGGACTCTACTGACGAACAAAATACATATTTAGATTAAAAAATTGCAAAAAGAACTCTACTGACAAACTAATAGAAAAAAGAATGTATTAATTAAAGATTCTACTGACAGCAATTTCTGCTAGGAATTCTCTAACAAAAGGACTCTACTGACTAATTAGTCAGTTAGTCTTAAGAATAAATAGTAATAATACTTTAATGTGATGTGATTACCTTCATCTGGTGTCTTTCCAAATTATTTTCAGCAGTTGTTATCCATTTGTTCATTGTTTTCCAGAGCCAGTCTGGTTCTTTTGAAAGTGGAACGTGCATCGAATGAATTGCAGACATTTTTTCGGCGATTTTCACGCAGAGGACAGGGTCGCTCATTTCTTTTGTTCTAAGGGGACGGGCCTAGAAAAATAAAATAAAGAGTCTATTATTATCATGCCGTTAATTGGTAGAAAATTTTTATTAAAAGGTAGAACAAATATTTAGTAAATCATTAGTTAAAAGGAGAAGACCCAAAGATAGATTGCGAATACACTTTATCATTTCTTTGCTCGTCATTTTTGTTTTTTTTTTTCATGTTGCTCGTCAGTAGAGTTCTTTATATCCTTTCCGTATTAAAAAATAGTTTGCTCGTCAGTAGAGTCTTTTTATACTTGTGTCTGGAAACAGTTCGCTCGTCAGTAAAATCCTTTTTATCCTTATCACGTCTAATAACAGTTTGCTCGCCAGTAGAATTCTTTTAATCCTTAAAATGTCGGAAAAGTGTTTGCTCGTCAGTAGAGTCGTTTTTTATGTTTATCATTCGCTTGTCAGTAAAGTCCCTATTTATTCTTATACACAGAAACAGTTCGCTTATAATTAGAGTCCTTTTTATCTGTATGATATCGAGAAATAGTTTCATTTGCTAATAGCAGGGTCATTTTTATTATTTTCATATAGTTTGCGTCAGTACAGTTTTTTTTATTCTTCTCATGTCAAGAAACAGTTTGCTCGTCAGTAGAGTTCTTTTTATCATTATCATATAGTTTGCTCGTCAATAGAGTCCTTTTTTTCCTTATTTTGTCGAGTAATAATTTGCTCGTCAGTAGAGTCCTTCTTATCCTTATTGTGTCGAGTAATAATTTGCTCGTCAGTAGAGTCCTTCTTATTCTTATTTTGTCGAGCAATAGTTTGCTCGTCAGTAGAGTCCTTTTATCCTTATTTTGTCGAGCAATAGTTTGCTCGTCAGTAGAGTCCTTTTTATCCTTATTTAGTCGAAAAACAATTTGCTCTTCAGTAGATTCCCTTTTTCCTCATTTTGTCAAGTAATAATTTGCTTGTCAGTAGAGTCCTTTTTATCTTCAATTATTAAGACTGAGTTTGCTTTCTCTTTTAATCCTGCAGGTCAATATTTAATTTGTTCATCAGTAGAGTTATTTCGAAATACATTTATAATAATTTATTAACATTTCTAGTATTAATAAATTTCGAAGCTCTTGTTCTTTACTTTTGGACATTTTTATCATTTATTCAGCCTTGCATGATTTATTTAAAACCAAAAGATGCGTAAAATTTTTAAGAAAAAATATCTTACATCTTAAAGGGTTCTGCCAAGCACGTTTTATTCTATTTAACACTTTAAATTATTAATTAAATAATAAATTAACATACCGACAATTGACGGTTGTGTCGCCATTTTGCACAATTTTAATTGAAATTTTACACGTTCAAGAATATATTGATATTTGCCATCAGGGGATACGTTATTAATTAAACACTAAGTACATTAAACACTAAAATAACTTTAAATATATAAAAAAACACAGTATATTTATAAAATAAAAAATATTATTAAAAACGTAAAAGTACGTTCTTTTCAAAACTCTTTCATCTTCGGACATCATCGGACGTGTTCGGTTCGATCCGTCTGGTGCCGACCAATAGAAATTATTCAATAATAAAACTAAAGAACGTAAATTTTAAATTTACTAAATCTGTATACACACCAGTATGTTTATTAGTTAAATAATTATATTTATCATTAAATAATTATACTTTTACATTCAAAAACGATTATTAAATACTTAAAATACACAAAAACAAGTCTTAATAATCTCGGACGCGTTCGGTTTTTTCCGCCTGGTGCTGACCAATAGCAAGCAAGAAAGACGCGAATGGTCTCTAGCAACGAGGCTAACAAAAAAGTTTATATTAAATTAACAAAGTTTTTGTTTACACAAATATTATTATTAGTTAAATAATTATATTTAGTAGTAAATAATTATACTTATAAAATAAAAAATGGTTGTTAAATACTTAAAATACATAAAAACATGTCTTAAAACTCTCGTAGGGTTCGGGTGTCATCGTGTATGTTCGGCTTTCGCCGTCTGGTGCTGGCCAATGGCAAGCAAGAAGGACGCAAGAAGGACGCAAGAAGGACGCAAATAATGGATGCAAACGTAAAAGTTCGCGTTTGTATTGCTGAATTTATAAAGTTTGTATGTACATCGGTGTGTTTATTTAATTAATAATAAATGATACAGAAACATAGTGTTTAATAAGCATATATATATAAGAATATAAAGTGATGTTAAAATAAAACGTCCCAAAAATTCATTTATGCGTATTGATTAGCGTTTACATACTGCACGGATTAATTGTGAGTGTGAATAAATAAATACTAAGTTTGTTTGTAATTGTGTTAAAGTGCAGGATACGTTTATAGTTCCATTACAAACTGATCCTTTACCCAATTATCCTTTATTATGGCGGATATGATGGAAGAGACCCATTTCGATACCGGCGACTCCGGAGCCTCCGCAACCTACCCCATGCAATGTTCAGCCCTTCGCAAAAACGGTTTCGTAATGCTGAAATCACGTCCCTGCAAAATAGTAGAGATGTCGACCTCCAAAACAGGTAAACACGGCCACGCTAAAGTCCATATGGTAGGCATTCATATTTTTAATGGCAAAAAGTACGAAGACGTCTGTCCATCCACCCACAACATGGATGTCCCCCATGTTAAACGAGAAGATTACCAGCTTGCTGATATCGATGATGGTTACTTGACCCTCATGTCTGATACTGGTGATCTTCGAGAAGACTTAAAAGTTCCTGATGGGGACCTCGGGCAGCAGCTTCGTAGTGATTTTGAGGCTGGCAAGGATATGTTGTGTACCGTGTTGAAGTCTTGTGGTGAGGAATGTGTTATCGCTATCAAGAGTAATACTGGACTCGATAAATGAGAGGAAAATGTTATCGATGAAGATTCTTGTTGGTGAATGTATCGTGCAAGTGTGTAAGTACCACTTTGTAGTCTTTCGAAGATGTTGGGTGTCGATGAAGATTTGTAATAATAAAATTGTTTCGATTAATAAATGGTATCTTTGATATCTTGCTTCTAGTCGTATTGTTTTCTTTTTTGATATTTTTTTTGTGTGTGTCGACTGACCTAGCTTTTATTTACATATATGTTCTTGGATAGGAAAAAAGCGAACATGTACGATGACATCCGACTGTTTTTAAGTCGTATTTTTTAGTATTTCTTGTATTTACCTACTATTTTCTTAGTGTAAAAATATAATTATTTAATAACAAATATAATTATTTAAATAATAAGCATTTTGGTGTACACACAAACTTTGTCAATTTAATATTAAAATCGTTAATTAACTTCCCGTAGGGTAGTTATTGTAATGGGCCGAAAATCGAAAATGAAAATTTTTGCATTTCTCGACGTTTTCAAGGTTTCTGAACATTTTTAGAAGGCATATCTCAGAAACTAAATGGATGTGTGTGAGCAAGGATTAACCAATTTCAAAATCAGTTAAAAAAACATTCTGTTCCTATTAATAGGGAGATGTGCAGATTAGTTTTTGGCAAAGGTAGGTTCAGCCGTTAGGGAGATATGGAGCAAAGAGTGCAGAAAATTGAGTGTTTGAGAGAACGGAGCATCCTATTTGTACGATTCAAAAACCATTCAGTTCGTAATGACGGAGAAAAGTAGTTATTAGTTTTTGGCAAAGGTAGGCCCTGCAGTTTCGGAGATACCGAGAAAAATGTGCAAAAAAATGGTAGTTTTTGCGAGAAATAAGCGTCCGATTTAAATGATTCAAAGAACTTTCTGCTTGTTTCAACAAAATAATTGCACTTGGAAAAAAAATTGTTTCTAATTTTCAATTAAAGATTAAAAATTGAAAAAATGACCCAGGCTAAGCAGAGTCTAAGCGCCACTCTTGTACAAATCTTTACCCGAGTGCGTTTAGACTGTTTATTGAGCACTGAGCACTTTTCCAATTTTGTGTAAATTAGGCAACTATTTTTTTGAAATTGAAAAATGTGAAAATGCCGCCAAGCTAAGCACAGTATAAGTAAAAATGTCGCACAGAATTATTTGCAAATGCGTTTAGACTGTAACTGTACGGGATCACTTTTTCAATTTTATGTAAATTAGACAACATTTTTTTTTTTTAAAATTGAATTCGAAATGAAATGATTGTTAATGTTCTTTCTGGAGATATATTAATTTATGATTTACATTTGATTTACTCAGATATAACAAGATAGCAAAAATAATAAAAGTTACAGTATTTGTAATAATATATTTGAAACTTCTCGAATATTTTATTACGGTAAGGGAAGTTCCAGCAATTTGCCTTAAAGCACGATGCCATACACCACTAGTTTTTTTATTATCCTCGTTGCAAACGAACATTTGCATCTTTCTTGCTTGCCATTGGTCAAAAATCAGACGGACGAAAACCGAACACGAACGAACACGTCCGATAATAACAAAGTTTAAAACATACATTTTGTATTTGACAATTAATTTTATACTATATAAATATACTTATTTAGTTAATTAAATAAATAAACACACTAGTGCATATAAAAACATAGTAAATTCAATATTATAAACAAGAATTTGTATTTTGTTTTTATCGTTTCAATCGAGGCTATCTACGTCCCCTCGTCCTAATGACATTAGAAGACATGTTTTTTGTGCTTTTTGTATTTAATAATCCTTTTATATACTGTATAAGTGTTTTAGTGTTATATATGTTAAAAGTGCTTTTAGTCTTTAGTTTATGCTCTGGAATAACATGGCAGCAAAAGGTAAATACAACAATTTATTTGTATTAGTTTTAAACTTTCAATCAGTTGCACAAAATGGCCGGTGCACTCCTTGTAAATAATAAACTATTTCTTTACTGTAGAATTACTACTTACTATTGAAGTGTACTGTATTATTTTATACAGTATTATTTTATTTTAAAAGTGCTTCTAATGTTTAATTTACGTCCAATCATTTTTAAAATATAATTAATGTTAAATAAATTAAAAATGGCGACCACTGTCAAATTGTAAGAATTAATTAATTATTATTTTAATTGAAATATTAATGTTAAATAGATATCAACTGTAATTTATTTATCAATTACTGGCAAATATTAATATTAGTAGCAAATATTATTCTTAATCATAATATATTATTATTATATCTACATTATTAATCTATTAAATTAAAAAATCAATTATCAAAACTACCCAATGATGCAAAAATATGTTTAAATTTTTTCAAGAAAATTAAAATGATGCATTAGTAAAATAATCATTTTCATAACATGTGAATAGATTAATTGTTTTGTTCTTAAATTAACTAGTTTATGTTACGATTTGCAAAAAGTATTGAAAAACAAAAAGTTTAGTTAAGAATAAGAATAATAATTACTTTATATATTACTTAATAAACTTAATAAATTATTAACAAATGCAACACTTTCCAATCAAGTTTATTAAGTTAAATAATTTTAAAGAATAATTAGGCATTTGTATGTCATTTTATAATTGAAAGAAAAGTGTTCGAAGACATGTTAAGTATTTGAACAAAATTTGTGTATTAAATCAGCTTTTTAGTGAAATTACCAGTGTATTTTCTGAAGAATCTTTTCGAAGACAGTATAATCATGTGTTTTTTAAATCACTTCAACTAAACCAAAATAAACTATTGAAAAATTATGTTCGTAGATTTAGCTAGCCGATAATGACACCTTCAGTATTATTTATAAATATATTAATCATTTCAATTATAATAATAATAGAGTAATAAGTAGTACTGTTTTGCATAATAACAATGGATTTAAACTCTATTATTATTAAAATTGAATTGATCAATATATTTATAAATAATACTTAAAGGGTCATCATAGGCAAGGTTTATCTTTAAACACAATATTGTCAATAATTTGATTTTGTTTAGACGAACATGTTGGGAATCGTTTAAGGTTAAAATTAATTTAACTAATATATAATATCTATACCATCCATTTTCTAGTCATATCGTTATTATAATTTCTTCTATATATGCATTTGTTTTGTATCGACTGACCTAGCATGTATGTACATAGCTTTTTGGATCTTTCGAGTATGTTGTTGGTCAAAATTAGTTTTGTTACAAACATATATATATATATATATATATATATATATATATATGTATTATTACTTACAGGTATATATTGTTCGATTCTTCCTCCAGGGAAGACTCCATGTAGTTTAGGTCCTAGTCGTCTTTCACTTAACAATGTAAAGATTACACTTTCGGTTATGATTGCCTAAAAAATATATAAATTTTATTATAATGTGCAATTTAAATATTGTAATCTCTATAATATTTTGAGACTTCGATTAAAATGTTTAAACTGAAAAAAATAGATTTTCGAGAAATTTTACATTTTTGAAAAAAATTTACTTTTTTGTAAAAAAAAACTTGAATAAAAATGTTTTTTTTTCAATTATTCAAATCGGTTGATCGGTGTTCCTGAAATCGTCGACGAAATTTTGTATCCGCACACACACACACATCAATTTTTTTTCTATGGTATATCCAAATGTTCAGAAGCATTTGAAAAGTAAAGATATATAAAAATTTTCATTTTCGTTTTTTTTGCGATTACTATAACTTACCCTACGGGAAGTTAAAAATCTTTATTTTTTAAAATCACAAACTGCAAAAAAGTCTAAAAAAATTACTAGAATTAGCAAAAAAGACATAGGCGGAAAATATTATAGCAAGAATAACTGAATTTGAAAAACAAATTGCAAAATTACAAAAATGTGAAAACAGAGCATTTACAGAAAAAAGTTGAAACAAACAGCATAAAATTTGAAAGCAGAAACCGCGCAGAAATTTTAAAAATTAAAAAAGAATGATAACATAACCCTTTCGCTAAGAAAGCGGCATTCGCTTAACGACCTGTGTGTACGTGTGTCGCCCTATAGATGACACGCCAGTGTATTACTTCAATATTTATTACTCTGATTGTGAGTTAAATTTTTGAGAATACTTTTGAGAATTTTTATCGATTATGAATGAAAAATCTTATCTTTTGTGTAAAAAATTGCTTTAACGGTTTATGGGGTCACTCTTACGCAAAACACTCTCATAACGAAAGGGTTAATATCCAATATAGAATTAAAATGCTATTTAATTCCATTCATCATTCATTATTCACTATTATTCACCTCGACTGCCTGATCGCCATGAATCTGCCCATATATCCTTAGAAGAACCTGTCGAGGTTCACCCTGAAAACCACATTCTTCACTATCGGAACTATCGCTTAAAGTGTCCAGGTTATACTCCTCTTTCAGGCTAAAAAATATAAAAAAAACATCAAAAAACAAAAAAAGACTCTACTAACTAACCTATTCGGCTGCATAACAGACAAATATTATGGCAAGGCCACGTTATAAAGAACTTTCGATACAAAAATTGAATTGAATAACAGTCATGCGGTTGGTATTCAGTCAGGCGCATTAATAAGGTTGACATATAAAATTTAACTTAAAATATAAAAAAAAACTATGTTAGACATTAGGCATGTAAACTAAGTAAGATTTATCACTGAATTATCTACATATATATAAAAATAAGTCGGATTGTCCTTCCTGACGATATAACTCAAGAACGCATGAACCGATTTTAACAATTTTGCATTCGTTGTAAAGGTCTCGGGCTCCGCAAGGTTTATAGCTAAGAAAATTAGTGGTGCACGATTCCAATTTCCAGTTCGCACTAACAAGTCTCAAGGCCAATCGCTTAGTGTTTGCGGGATAAATTTCAAATAGATTATTTAGAAAATCATTGTTTTTCACATGGGCAGTTATACGAGTTGGAAATCCATCCGCTTTGTTTGTGTTAACGTCAGACCAAAAAACAAAAAATGTGGTTTACCAAAGAGCACTTCAATGAAACGGATAATTTGCGGATTCACTTTCATTTACTTAGAGAAGTTCAACTAAAAAACACTTCATTTTTGTAATCGAAATAAATTCATTACTGTTGTATAATAAAATCAATTTTTTCCTTTTCAAATATAAAACAAACAAAAAATTTCTTCATCTTTCTCACGAAACCATCTGGTGGCGAAACGGAGTTCGTCGAGTTTGCTAGTCTTATATAATATGATACTTATTTAAATGTACAGTTTAGTTCATAGAAATTAATTTTGTATTTCTGATTGCTAAAATAAAGTGAAATAAAAAAAAAAGATATTAAGTTCATAACATACGAATGACGTTGCAAGTGACGCAAAATACGCCTGAATGAACAGCAACCACATGGACATTTTAACCGATTCAGCCTTGCCATAACACAATACAAAGAATATATTAAATAATATAAGAGATAGATAGAGTCTCAATATTCAGTATGATGATTCAGTACTAAAATGTATATGAAACTCGGAGCATAACATGGCCTTGCCATAACATAATAAAAAAAATATGTTGAATAATATAAGAGATAGATAGAGTTTCAATATTCAGTATGATGATTCAGAACTAAAATGTATATGGAACTCGGAGCACAACATGACCTTGCCATAACTCAATAAAAAGAATATATCAAATGATATAAGAGATAGATAAAATTCTTCTCCTTACCAGTATCCACTCTCATCATTAAAAGTTTTCAGCAAGTCTTCGTCGGAGGATCTCCTCAAAAAGTTTTCGCTATATTTAGAAGCAAAACTGGTATCGATGTGGTCACCGTTTTGGTGGTAACCGTTCTGGTGGTTGGCGGTGACAGAACCCGAAGATGGTGCCGAAGATGGTTCAGAATGTTCGACTACTGCTGACTCTGGAAGGGCGACGTGGTAGAGGAAATTTGAGAGGCCACCACTGGATAAAATACAAGAAATTAGTTGGAAATTAATATAAATATACTAGATGACCCGACAAACGTTGTCCTGTACCCACATCTACATTTTTTTAATATCCTATACTAATATTTACACCGTTCAGTTAAAAATAATAATTATTGTTTTTCGAATTACTATTTACACTAATATATGAGTGATGTTAAATGTAGAACTGCTTCAAATAAAATTATGATTCTCAATTTCCATATCTAAATTACATTTTTCTCACCAATAATTCAATATACATTATTACTTAAGTTCATATTTGAAGTGAATTAATTTGTCAAATTTTGTTCACATGTGCTCTATTCAACCTACGATCAACAAAATTATTGCAGTAAATAGAGAGAAAAAAAGCGTGTGCTCTGCGATTTTTTTTTACTATGCTCCAATTTGCTTGATATTTTGGAAATAGGCTAATCTTAATCTTAAGTTTAAAAGTGAAAACAATTTGCACTCCTTCAACACCCCCGCCGGTATGAATTCGATTATAACTCTTTTAATTGTGATTTTATCAGAACTTGTAATATACTATTTTAAAGGTGATTAAATGACCTACAACTTTCTCTATAATAAATTTTACCCTAAATTATCTTATTTTGAAACGGCGAAGGGTTAAAGGGCTCGAACGACACTCTGGTTGGACTCTATCAATATTTGTGTAACAAAAAAATAATAAAAAAAATAATTAGTCACAAAAAAACTAAAAATTTCAGAGATATAATAGTGAGAAATTGGTTATTTTTTTAATAGATTTTTTCATAAAATCATGAGTTTTTTGAAAATCGTTTGTACTAAAGTTATAGTATTTTCTAGAATCCATCAAAATCTCTTAAACCAAGTTAATTCTAGATGGAATACAATTATTTTTAATTTTCGTGGAAATGGCACTCATAAACTATTTGATTCAAATGAAATTGTATGCGTCTTTTATTTGCATGATAGGTCACTCATTTTACACGCAGAAATACTTATTTTAAAGCTTATTTTGAGGACTATAAAACCCCATTTCATATCTAGCTTAATATTGTTCCTAGAACACTATAAAACAGTGATTTATTAAAATATTAATATATATAATTTTGGTCATTTCATTATTTTTGTTAAAATGTATATTTCTGAAGATATTAGCAAATAACGCTTTTAATTTTTCTTTAACATTTAGTTAAAAAATAATAATCTGTCAAATTGAATTTTAATATAGGGTATGTAATCACATTGAACTGGCTTCACTTGTCAGACGCATGTTGACTCTATTTTATTGCATTATTTTAATTTTTGGCACAACTCAGCTGCTTTTCGGCAATAATAATGTAGACATTACATTTTCCTTAATCATAATCATGAATTTATTATATTTTAATATTACGTTAGCCTATAAGTGAATAGGAATGTTCGGCAAATGGCGGTCTTCATTTGTTTTAATGTCAAACCATGCCTTAAATATTTTCAAGGGCAAACAATGATAAGCGGTTTTTTTGTAATTTTTTTCCATTTATTTCTATCTAACTATATTTCTATGCATCTAAAAATTCTAGAAAATTTCTCGAACAAACTTCAGGAAGATTCATGAAAATCCGAATTATAGTTTAGGAGGATTATACATTCATACATAGTTACAGAAGAATTTTATATATAGGATAATAAAGGGTAGTACTACACATGAACTGAATTCAGGAAAGAATAGTGTGAGATATTGTCCATTACCATTGCCTTTTCACACCGCAGTGCCCGAAATAAACATGGGTATTTTTAATTGGAAACACATGATGTGATCTATATTTTCAACTGACAATGAACATCGCTACTGCATGATGTCATATTAATAACCTCATTAAATAAACTAAAATTATCTAGGAAGTAAACCTTTTATAAGGAGTTCTGCATCTTTTACTACCACTAGCGCATCTATCGTTATCTCAATCAATTATTTACGTATCAACAAAAAATAGACAAAGTTAACTATCTATTTCCCTTTTTTAAATTATGTCGATAATTAACAAAAATAGACTGTATAATTCATAAATTAATTTTGTTTTAATTTAATTATATCGTTTTGTTTGTTTATCTTTACATAATATATGAAAAGTTCAAGATTTTGCAACCTTCTGGTTCTATAAATATAATTTAATAACAAATACAAGATTGTCGTTACACATTTATAGCTTTGTTATTTGTTTTTTTTTTTGCAAAAAAAAGTTTTTGTAATCTGAGGTCAAAACGCGGTTAGAACGTTTTTATTGGACAAATCCGCGCATCATTGTTAATTGTGAATTTGATAAAAAAAATACTGGATTAAAATTTGATGAATTCTTATAGAAGTGTTGGCGAATTTTAGAAGAAATTGATGTTGAATTTTTAAAGAAAAAGATGCTGAATTTTAAAAAGAAAAAGATGTAGAATGTTAATTAGAAAGATAATGGTAAGTATTAAATGGAAAGAGTAGCTGAATCTTAGAGAAGAGTAGTTAAGCTAAAAGAGTCCTGAGGCTAAAAAATTGTTGAATCTTAAAAAATTGCTAAATCTTAGGACAAATGCTAAATTTTAAAGAACAGTTGTAGGATTTTAGGAGAAAGATATGCATATTTTTTAAAAAGAATTGTTGAATTTCAGGAGGAAGAGATTCTGAATTTTAAGGAAAACTTACCTAATATCAAAATGATACTGAATTTTAAAAAGTTTCTAAATTTAAAATAGAATTGCTAAATTTTTAAGATGCTGAATTTTTGAGAAAAGTTTTAAAAAAATGAATTGCTGAATCTTAAAGGTGTTGCAGTGAATTTTAGGAAAAAGAGTTACTAAATTTTAGTAGAAAAAACTTGGATGCAATTTTAAAGTTTTAAAGAAAACAATAGCTGAATTTTAAGAAAAAGAAATGCTGAATTATGGTCGCTAAAATTCAGGAGAAAAAAATATAGAATTTTTGGAGTAAAACGCAAATTTTAGAAGAGATGCTTAATTTTATAAAAAAAGATGCTATCTTTTAAGGGATGCTTTCTTTGGATGCTGAATTTTAGGAGAAAAAAATGCTGATTTTTCACATGAAGGTGTAGAATTTAGAAGAAAAATGTTCTAAATTTTATAGTAAAACAAATACTGAGAAAGAGAAACTAAATTTTGGTAGCAAAAAGTTTCTGAAATCAACAGAATTTTAAAAAAACAGCTAAATTTTAAGAAAAGAATTGCTGAATTTCAATAAAAGATGTATTGAATTTTAAGGAAAGTATATACTAAAATTTAAGAGAAATTTTAATATATCTTTTAGGTGATGCTGCATTTTAAAGAAAAAGAGATGGTTAATTTACAAGAAAAAGAAATTCTGATTTTTTCAGAAAAAGATGTAGAACTTTAGAAGGAGGTAGAGATAATGAATTTTGAAGACAAAGAGGTGCTTAATTTTAGATGAAAAAGATCGTAAATTTTGTAGGAAAAGAAAAGCTAACTTTAAAGAAAAAAACAGCAGAATTTTAGAAGAAGGAGATGCTGAATTTTAAAGAAAAAGAGATGCTAAGTTCGCAAAAAAAAGGAATGCTATAAAGAGTTTTTGGAGAAAAAAGTTGCTAATTCTTAAAGGAAAGAAAAGAGGTTGCGACATTTAAGAAAAAGAGTTGCTAAATTTTAGTAGACAAAAGTTTAGTAGTTAAAAAAGAGTAGCTGAATTTCAAGAAAAAGGATGCTAAAAATTGAGAGAAAGGGATGCTGAATATTAGGAGAACGGGTTAGCAACTTTCAGAAGACAAAGTTACTTTTTATTATTTTAGTAGAAAAATTTGCTATATTGAATTTTAAAGAAGAAATAACTAAATTTTAGAAAAAATAGATGCTTTTAGGAGCAGAATGTTGTATATGAAGAAAAAGATGCTGAATATAAGAAAAAAAATCTAGAATTCTTGTAAAAAGAATGCTGAATGAAAAAAGATGCTACTATTTGTAGCAGAAAACTGCTGAGTTTTGAAAAATTTTATTGAAATTCCATAGAGAGAGGTGCAAAACTTTGAATAAAAAAGAGGTGCTAAATTTGATATAACAGAAATATGTTGAATTCAAAAAAAAATAATATGAAATATTTTTTAAATTTTAGGGAAACGTTATTTTAAATTATAATTTCTAAAGAAAGACCAAACATTAGAGAAAAATATTACAATAAATATAAAAAATATGAATTTTAAGAGAGTGAAATTATGTATCAATAAAACTGCTCTAAAGCAACATATAGAGAGAATTCTTAAGTCGCAATTTCTCAACGATATTCAATAAGCAAAAATATAATATAATTATAATGTATATATATATATATATATATATATAGATTTATATATATATATATATATATATATATATATATAGATTTATATATATATATATATATATATATATATATATATATATACAAATGAAAAGACATTGATTAAGTTCTTGCTAATTGCGATAAAACTAATACCCATCATGTGATCCACTTTATTGTAGTCACTCGAGATAAAGTTTTATTTATTTATTTATTCATATATATATATATATATATATATATATATATATAAACAATAAAGATAACAACAATTCTAGCAAACTCGCTGCTCGCAAATATCATTTCAACTTACAATTAGCTTACTCAACAAACTTAACAATATAATTATAAGGAATATGATTTATTAAATAGAATTTTAAAATTTTAGAGTTGCATTATATACATTTCATATGGAAAATATTTTGAAAAGAAAAAACTTAGCGACAAATGAATTAGAAGTGAAAATTCGTGTAATTTTTTATTAAAAATGCGACGCTTTGCAAAACAGGTTTTTTATAATTTGTTTTGTAAAGCGTCGAATTTTGAATAAAACTCATTCATTTGTTTGCTAAATTATATCTAAAAACATTTTTAAAATTTTTGAAAAAAATTTCATGTCATTTCCATACAAAACTTTGATTGAATTGCGCTCTATCTAAACGTAAATATTAAGAGCTAAATCTTTCAGAAGATTGTTGTTTATCAATTTGGAATCATTTGAGCCCTGGGAGCAAGAAAATTTGAAAATGTCCACATTAAGGACCACCCTAATATACATATAATTTAAATTTGATAAACAAAATTTTCCCTGACCACGTCACTAGAAGGGGAGTGCTGTGGCAGTACGAATCGGCGTCGATCAATATAGAGAGTGAAAACAAACGCGATATTTCTAAGAATGTTACACTTTTATATAAAGCTTTTTAAGACAAAACAAAAAGTTCATCCCATTATTATTATTAGTACATACACAAACTACAATTATCTAAGACCTAAACCTCAACACTCGTGTTATTACTAACAATTGTAACAATTTGTCATAAATTATATTATAAATTTATTAATAAAATTATTTTAAAATTCATTCCATTTACATATACACGCATACTGTTTCCAATATTGGTCTCAAACGATTCAGAATGACTTGAAACGTCGAGGAAAAAACATAAAATAAGCAAAACGAATTTTCTGTCGAAAACATAAGCTACTACACTACTACTACTACTACTACTTTTGATAATTATAAATATCGCGAATATATCTGTTTTTATCTTTATTATTTCCATAAACCACAATTATCTAGGACTTAAACCTAGTATAAGAGATGCGACACTCGAGCGCCTCTATGAGGGATTCTTTTAATTACAAAACGCAGAAGCGGGATAGAAACGTAGCTTACTATTCACAACATATATATAAAACATTAGAAATTTTATTACAAATGTATTTATAAAATTATTATAATATTCATTCCCTTTACATAACACGCATACTCTTAGTCTCCAACGATTCAGAATGACTTGAGACATCGAGAAAAAAACTTGAAGTTAGCAAGTAGGATTTTCTGGCAAAAAGAAATTTCTTGTTCATAAATTACTACTTTGTAAGTCTTTCTATAAAGTTATCTCTGACCCAAACCAACTAATACTGGTTCCGATTTTCGTCTCAAACGATTCAGAATGACTTGAAACGTCGAAAGAAACGCGTGAGGATTTTCTGGCGAAAAGAAATTTCTTGTTCTTAAATTACTACCTTGTAAGTCCTTCTATAAATGCATTATTTCTGTATGTAATCCACAAATATCTAGGACTCAAACCAACTAATACAGCTTCCGATTTTCGTCTCAAACGATTCTGAATGACTTGAAACGTCGAGGAAGAAACATAAAATAGTCAAGACGGGATTTTCTGTCGAAAACAAACAACCTTTCATTCTTATATATCACGAACATATCTATTTTTGTCTTTATTTTATCCATAAATCACAATTATCTAAGGCTTAAACCTAGTACGAGATATGCGACAATCGAGCGCCTCTATAAGCGTCTTATACAATTACTAAGCGCGGAAGTGGGATAGAAACGTATTTTATTATTTACATCATCATATAAAACATTAGAAATTATATTATAAATTTATTTATAAAATTATTATATTATACGTTTCATTATAAGACAAATTTGGGTCTCAAACGATTCAGAATGACTTGAACTTTGGAAGAAAAAACATAAAATTAGAAGTCTGAATTTATGGCAATAACATTTTTTTTAATTATCATAAATAACGTGTAAGTCTATCTGTAAATTTATTATTTCTGCAAACCACAATTATCTAAGACTCAAACCATGGACACTCGCGCGCCTCTATGAATGTTCGATGTAATTTCTAAACGCAGAAGTGGGATAAGAATAAAGCATATGATGGAAATCCTTATACATATATTATATATATATATATATATATATATATATATATATATATATATATATATATATATATATATTATCCTTTACCTGATTCTCTTGAACAATAAATCCTGCGGTTTGACTGTCCTCCAGGCGCCTGTTAAATAGTCGCGACAGATTCGGGCCGCAGTGTCGCGCATTTCGGTTTCATTTAAATTCATCTGGAAATAATAATGAAATTATATATTATTAAAAAATTGTCGGAAAATATAGAAATGCAAAACTCCAAATTTTATTATAAAATATAATTTTATCAATTTGTAGTCGATAAAATCATTTACATAAAATTGCAGTCCGTGCAAAAATTGCAAATGCAAATTGCAATTAACTAATTCGAATCGCACACATAATAGACATAACATTACAGACATTTTATTATATAAACAAATGATCGATAACAAAAAAATGCGACGATTTTAATCATACCTGCGACATTGATATCAATTTAAACTTTGAAATCGATGCCAAAAAATGTATTTTCGTTATCTGAAACGACAACCTTTTGGAATTATAAAGAACTTGAAAATCGAATTAATAAATAAATACACTTTACCTTCAAGGGACAAATCTTATCATTGGTACTTTGTTTTAGAAGTATGTACTTATTAATAGTGTTATCAAACGATAACTTTGCATTGATGGCACAAACAACGAACTCAAAAGATAAATCTTATAAGAAAAACCCAAAAATTTCACAAACGTCAATACGAAACTCTTAAAACATTTTAGGCCATGGGTATAGATGACTATAACTTGTCAAAATAAAATAGGTGAACTGGGAAAAGCAAAAACATTCATGGATAAAATATAATTAATTGTGTCGCCATCTAACGGTCTGCTTTTACAAATAACCAAAAATGGTAGGGACCCGCCATTTTGACTTGACCCGCCATTTTGAGCTTTTCATTTTATTCTTTATTATTATATAAAATATAGTTGTTAATAACACATGGCCAAGACAACATCGACGTTTCATTTAAGTTTATTATACAATAAGTGTACACATTTACATTGTTATGCTTTCAAACAAATTATTGAAGTTTTTTGACAATTTATAAAACTTTGTCACTTTCAAATTTGTCTTGCACATATTAACTTCAAATATCAATACCCTAGTTTTAAAAATTTATATCGTCTATATTATATATAGTTAAGGGCTGGAATTTTAGTATCTTATTCCTAAAAGTATATACTATAAGTGTACATACTTAAATTTTATTGTTTCTTAAGAAATTAGTAAAGTTTTTGACATAATTCTAAAATTTTGTCCGCCAATGGAATCACTTTGCAAATAAAATATTCTCGTTTTTAAGAATTTATACCGGCTGTACTATATATAGTTAAGGACTGAAATTTTAGTATAGTATTCTTAAAAGTATATACTATGAGTATACATTTATAGAATTTTATGTTTTCGAACAAATTATTAACGTTTTTGACATTTTTGTAAAATGACATGAAAATTTATGTAATGACGGATGCTTGCGCATCGGGCGGGAATATGGATAAAATATAAATAATTATGTCGCCATCTAACAGTGTGCTTTTACAAATAACCAAAACCTGGTAGGGACACTTTTTGATTTGCTATTTTGAGCTTTTAATTTTATTCTTTATTTTTATGTAAAATATAGTTGTTAATAATACATGGCTGAGGCAACATCAGCGTTTCAATTAAGTTTATAATAAAATTTATATCGTCTGTATTATATATAGTTAAGGGTTGAAATTTTAGTATGTTATTGCTAAAAGTATATACTACAAGTGTACATACTTAAATTTTATTGTTTTTTAAGAAATTAGTAAAGTTTTTGACATATTTCTAAAATTTTGCATATAAAATATTCTCGTTTTTAAGAATTTATACCGGCTGCACTATATATAGTTAAGGACTGAAATTTTAGTATAGTATTCTTAAAAGTATATACTATGAGTATACATTTATAGAATTTTATGTTTTCAAACAAATTATTAACGTTTTTGATTTTTTTGTAAAATGACATGAAAATTTATATAATGACGGATGCTTGCGCATCGGGCGGGAATATGGATAAAATATAAATAATTATGTGCCCATCTAACGGTGTGCTTTTACAAATAACCAAAAATGGTAGGGGCCCGCCATTTTGAGCTTTTCATTTTATTCTTTATTATTATGTAAAACTAATTAATAATACATGGCTAAGACAACATCGACGTTTTATTTGAGTTTATTATACAATATATATGTTACGTTAATTGAGAATAAGTCCATAAAATTATTATAATCAATCAATCAAACAATTTTTGTTGCCATGCAACAAAGTACAAAAATGAACTCCATCTTATCTTTGCAGACTTTTCAATTTCCTCGCGCGGAATTCTTGCCTGATAAGCAAATTTTATTTAAAGATAAGCATTTGTCTAATTATTAACTGTAAGATAAGACAATAAATAATCACGAGGAAATTATTTTGTAGAGAATCATTATTGTGGGCGTGGAAATCACAAGACGATAAGAGATAAGATAGATAAGAGAGTTGTTATGTAATATTATTAGTTGGGGATAAACAAATTGTATTTAATTGCGCCGGATGAAATATATAGAGTAGATTTATCATAGGCCTATAATATTTTAAGGACTTTTTTAACATTTTTAAAGTTTAATCAACGATTGAACCTGAAGTTGTTTGATGATTTTGGTAGATTTTGAAGATTTTGAAAGATTTATCCCTTTGTTTTTAAGATTAGGTTTATCGAAATTTGATTATAAATGTGAGACAGAATTCAGACTGATATTGAAGATGAATTTTCTAGAAGTATTACCTAATCGGGTACGACTTTTTTAGTGTTGCCACATATTAATTTGTAGTATTTAAGTTTCTTATAATTTATTTCCACTTTTGTATAGTTAATATTATGAGAAATATTTATAACTGTTAATTTGTATACATGTAGTATTTACTTTAATTTACTTTAACAAAAATTTATAAATACGATGGTATATGTATTGTATTTGTTTTGGATTTTTCAACAATAAAACACTTATAAGACTTATCAGTTGAAGGTAAAGTGTGTTTATTTAATACAATTTTCAAGTTCTTTATAATTCCAAAAGACGGTCGTTTCAGATAACGTATACATTTTCTGGTATTGATTTCAAAGTTTTAAATTGATATTAATGTCGCAGGTATGATTGAAATCGTCGCATTTTTTCGTTATCGATCATTTGTTTATATAATAATGTCTGTAATGTTATGTCTATAATGTGTGCGATTCGAATTAGTTAATTACAATTTGCATTTGCAATTTTTGCACGTACTGCAATTTTATGCGAATGATTTTATCGACTACAAATTGATTAAATTGTATTTTATAATAAAATTTGCGGTTTTAGCATAAACGGTGTGAATGTAAAATAGTTTTTTTATGCTTTATAGTAAATTAAATCATCTACAATTTTTTATAATGTAAATTGTGTTAACATCAATATTTTATTAATTGTAATGCAATTTCTAGAAAAATATTCATATATGTACATATGACTATGTTCAAGATGTTTAGAATAGATAAGGATGTAGATAATATTGTGACGAGAGGGGTTGAAGCCCCCTTCTTGGGGTATGCAATGGCTGCCAAGTATTATATTCTAGCCTTGCAACCCCTTACGAAGGGCTTACTTCAACACTCCAATCGCCCGCTAAAGTACCTGTAATTACCTGTGGGGGTTAGTAGCTACTATACGAATGAAACCAAGATTACTTTCATAACTAAATCTATTAAAATAATTAATAATACATTCCGCATGTATTTGTGGAACATGACCGTACTTGCATACGGTCATGTTCCCTAACTAATACCACTTATTCTTATATCATGGTATATATGCTTATATGGGGATGTGAGGGGAGAATAGCTACCGCTTATAATTTACATTATCTGACCTTTAAGCTGGACCTGTCTTGTTGCACAACACACACACCACTAACACTAACGTATCCCAAGGCATTCGCCTATGGGATACGTCTTCGTTGGCTCTAACTTCTTAATTGCCAGGATCTCCGGAGCGTCTCTCTGATGGACCCCAAGAACCAATGGATAGTTAGGGGTAGTGGTAGGGATGGTATACCCTGGGGGTTGACGACCATCAGGCGACAATAATTATCAATACGACGATAATTATGATTATCGTCACACGCCCCCCTGTCACACCAGAGCCGCCCCCGGCTCTAAAAATTGTTGCTACTTCCCAACGATGTTTGAGGTCCCCGTAGCGGTATCCATAATTGTTGGCCGCACGTCCAGAGCCTGGTTCACTTGATATGAATTTGAACGTAGACTGTAGTTGTGGGTGTGTGTCTTCAGTAATTGTGCTTTCGGTCAGATATATGTCGTCTTCGGTTCTTAACTAGCTATTCCCCCATTTATTAATAAAGAAGTTTGATAGACAACAAACAAAAAAAGAAATCGATAACAAACATGACAAATATTCAATAAAAAGAAATATAAATCGACAACCATAATCTTCAATACAAACATCATAACTAAATATATATATGGGTCAATTTGACCTTCAACTAAACTTAATTAATTTTGTTTTCTAATAGTTCGTGTTTTAGAAAGAAAAAAAACTGTACTTATATGAACTTCAAACCGCGACGTTATTCAAATTTAACACGAAAGAAAAACTAGCATTTATGCATAATGTTACAATACAGAAAAAAAAGAATTAACGTTGAAAAATTAAGATGTTACCAAAAAGAGAATGTTTTCTTGTACAGTTTTTTTTTCGGAGCACGCTATCTTGAAAACAAACCTAACCTATGTGTGTGTGCTGTTCCCTACTTTCTTGGTTGTAGTATTAGTTATTATGAAATATACGTAACCCGAAATCTAAGTTAGTTCGCCAGAATCGATGAGCCCGATGATATGGACAATATGGAGTAACGCGTGAAAAAACATAAAAGAATAGCTAATGTGACGATGAACAATAAGAAAAAAATTATTTACTATTAATTAAACTAAACTCGATTGCTTAAATCACTAGATGACTAACGAGCGCGACATTTACAGTAATTCAGTCTCTACTGGTGTGATTGCCCCCCAAATACAAGACCACAGATGGGGGCTAAGATCTAGTTATCCTTCTTGCTCCCCCCGCAGCGCCCCATCCATAATAACA